GGCAGAGGGCAGTGGGGAAAACTTCTGCATAGAGAGAGGCTGGAATGTGGCTGAGGGGGGCTTTTGGTTTATGAATTAGAAAAGAGCCTCACTCAGCCATGCTGCTCTTTTTAGGGTGATGAAGACTCCGACCCCCCACTCAGTAGCGACCTTGGTTCCTTTGTGACAGGATAACCAGGCTGCTCCTCATACACCCCTGTGCTCTATTTCCTCTCTCTCTTCTCTCACAGCTGTACCTCCAGACCAGAGACATGTCCTGCTACAACCCATGCCTGCCATGCCGGCCCTGCGGCCCAACCCCACTGGCCAACAGCTGCAATGAGCCCTGTGTCAGGCAGTGCCAGAACTCCACCGTCGTCATCGAGCCTCCTGCTGTGGTGGTGACCCTGCCCGGCCCCATCCTCAGCTCCTACCCACAGAACACTGTTGTGGGCTCCTCCACCTCTGCTGCTGTTGGCAGCATCCTCAGCTGTGATGGAGTGCCCATCAACTCTGGGTGCTGTGACCTCTCTGGCATTTCCAGCTGCTACTCTGGCAGAAGGTACCTTGCCTGATAAAGATGCTGGGAGTGCCCCAGTGGATATTCCTCTGGGAACTCAAAACATGGTGCTCTGCAAAGGATCTGGATTTTGAGGGTGTTTTCTGTGTAGCGGAATGGCTTCGCCTTTCTCTCCTGTTTCCTTGTTTGCTTTGATTCCCATTGGCAATAACTTTCCTCCAAGGCCAGCCTGGTGGGAACCATCGGTCTCCTCTCCCTCCACAGGGCAGGTAGCTGGACATCACGCATCTCCATAGCCAAGGCCCACAGACTCTTGGCTTCCTTTGGGGCTCCCTGCCCTGTTAGCTTCCACTGAAGTGATATTATTTTCTCTTTTGACTCATTAAAGTTGTGCTGTATTCAAACGTGGTCTCCGTGTGTTCCTTCCCTCTGTGGACAACTCACCGCTGCCAAAGGAGAAGGGTGTTGATCTGGGGTGGAAGGGGGTGAGGGCACAAGGAGACCATTCTGCATTCACAGAGGTTTTGGACACCCTGCGGTGGCTCCTCCTTTGGGCACCAACCCTTGGAGATGAGGAGGACATCCAGGGGTGCTGTGGTGCCAGTGACCATCAGGTCTTGCCTTGTTGTGCCTCTGCCGACAAATGCTCAGAAAGGGACGAAGCCCTGCGGGCCTAGCAGCCCCATGAGCTTCAGAGGAAGGGTGTTCCTCTTGCTATGGCTGGAGCTGCGCTGGGGTGACAGGAGGTGAGTGTGGGGCTCTGGAGGATGATTTTCTCTGCAGAATGCCAAGAGTAAGAGCAGAAGGAAGAGCCCTTGGGATGGTTGACAGCTATTACTCCCCCTTTCTCTCCTCGCGGGGAGGCAAGACCCACTCGCGGGGCCATGGCCAGCAGACATCGGCAGTAGTAGCAGGGAATATTTGCCCATGACACTGAATGAGTTGAGGCTTGACATCAGAGCTAAGTTTGTGGGAACTGAGGGCAGTCAGCACAGAAATGCAGACAGTAAAGAGTGTATTTCTCAGGAAAACAAAGCTGCTCTGGCAAGAGCATGCAGGGGAATGTTAAGATCGGCAAGGACAAGGAACCTGGGGGCACTTTCCAAGAGAGCTGCGGGTTGGTTCAACTCTTGACTGCTTCACTGGTTCTCCCAGAGACTTTGTGCTTGGGAATTGGCTGCCATTCTGGGGGGAGAGGGTTTTTTCATGTGGAATTCTCATCCCTTCTATCTGATGGAAATGTCTCTTGGCAGCCACTACAGTCGCATATCTAATTTCCTGCATGAAAATCCAGATCTCTTGGCAAAAATATGCAAGTGGAAGGATGGAAATACCCACAAGTATGTCCTCCATCAAGAGGGAATGTCCTCATTCTGGCAGGGATGGAGTTATTTTCCTCTCAGTAGCTACTGTGTTTTGCATGGAGTAGGAGAAGAAAGTGGATAGCACTGATGATTTTCTTTCTTGCTAAGTAATCATGGACTTTTTTCAGTTTCCTATATCCAGCTAACAAGCAGAAGTGCAGGAGCTGGGAGGGAGCACAGCCAGACAGCTAGCCCAAGCTGGCCAATGGAAATTTTCCATACCATAGATGCCATTCTCAGTTTATTAATGGGAGTTTTCGGGGGGTGCAGGAATACGGTCTTTTCTGGGAGTTCAATCTTTTCCGGGAGTTTGATCTTTTTAGTTCCATGAATTTAGCCTTTTTGGTTCCGTGAGTTTGACAAGGTTGCTGACGTTCATGAGTTTGGTGAATTCCGCTAAATTTACAGGCTCCAGGAATCCTGTGGGTTCCATGACTGCTGTTCAGACATCAGATGGTGAGAAAAAATCATATTCTGTACAGCTTGTATTGCATCATTATTATTATTATGTATATTAGTATTAATATTGCCTTTGTTGTCTTATTAAACTGTCTTCATCTCAACACATGAATTTTACCTTTTGTTCGTTCTCCTCCCCATCCCATACTCATCCCCAGCCCAGAGGGTTGTCTGGTCCTGGTTGCTAGTTGCTAGGTTAAGCTACGACAGGGAATTATGGCTCATGAAGCATATCTCAGAATGACTGAAGGCCAAAAGCTTTATAGGGCTTTTCTCTTGCATGTCTGAAATCCTTTTTCCCTCACAGTGCTATTACTAACCACCATCAACAGCAGCACAGCTGGACTTCCCAACCCTACTGCACTAAACCAGCAGAAGGTCCCTCAGGTCCTTT